TCGCGTTCGCCTAAAATGCAAGAACAACGCTCTGAATGGGATACTTTTTTTCTCATTGGCCAACTGAAAATAATTTATAAAGAAATGCAGGACTCCATTTTCTTTTAACCAATGATAGGACAGTATTGCATTGAGCGAGCTTTCACTTGCATATTAAGCGGACGTGATCATGGCCATGTCAAGCAGTAACGTGCCACATTTTAATGTACTTATATCAGTGTAGGACTGGGGTAAACAGCTAACATTTAAAATGCAATTGGGCAAGGGTTTAATTGGCCTTGTCAATCGGATGAGATGGCAAGATGGCTCCAAGTGAATGATATGCGCACGTTCTACATTCGGACAATGTTGCGAGCGAGCTCTTTTACCGAGAATGAGAACTAGTTATCAGTTGGAACGAATAACTCTAGGTCTTTTTGGTCCACTCCTAGAAACGTTGATTCACTCTTAGAAACGCATGTACGAAATTGAGCCTAAGAATATGCTTTTTTGTTTATTACTCTCTGTCTCTCTTCCTCCTAGTTACATCTCGATTTTAAAAATGCATCTTAGGTATTCTTCGGACGATTGTATAGGTAATTGCATTATAAATTTGATTGGGTTTGTCTCTTATGTTTGGTTACTCTCTTCTGTGTTGGTGTCAGGATTCGCAAATTATTTAATTTACAGATATATGTATATTACAGTTAGCAAAGTTTTAGGGGATATGATAGTCATCCATGCAATCAAATAATCTGGATAACTTGCATCCAGATAATTGCTGCTAACGTTTAAAAGATACTCTGAGCGCTGCTTCTTACCCCGACGGTTTTTAAGGTAGTCCCATATCCTTTTCCTGTCACAACTGTTTTCTTTTTCTATCTTTTTGCAAAGAGTTTTAGTTCTTGAGAGTTGTTGACAAGAAAATTCTTTAGACCCTGATTTATTGACTGTTTGAATTATCGATGTTTTACAGTAAGTAGATTGAAACGTATAGTGTTATGTAGGCTGATGTATACCTTTAGCTATCCCTAGGTACAACCCAAGGCCTCAGAAAAATTAATAATATTTATTTTATGATAGCTCCATCTGCTCCTGCAAAACAGCAGCAGAAGGCCTGGGTAGGTCCATAGACCACCGTTGGCTATGCATCTTTGATATTTTTTATCGGATTCTGCAGCTTCTGATAGCAAGGTACAGGTGCTTCTGTGTGTAATTAAATAATTTCTTTTCTTAGCAGCCATCAAGCAAAATAGAAAAAGAAGAGAAGTGCATTTGTAAAAAATGGTTCCGAATACATGTTAATTTGTTTTATGCTATCATTTGTTCGCAGTGATCGTAATATTCAAGTTTATGATTAAGATTATCGTTTAATATAATTTATCTGCTGCTGGTCAAGTAAAGCAAACTACTACGCATGTTTTATAGATAATCATATTTTATTCCATTCCATATGCTGTACACAATTAAATTGATTTAAACTTGTTAAACTTATTTAAGATGAAAAGTGTTTATGCCATCATTTGACATACTTTTTGTATTCCAGTGGTGGTTAAAGATTTCGTGGGCTTTGAATTGAAGAAAATTATTGTATTGGTCTAGATCCAGAATGATAATTCAGCCAATGATCTTTGGATGTGATTTGTAAGTGCACGTCTCTTCTCTTTGCAGACTCCTATTACATTATGAGTAGAAGTCTTAATTGTGTTGTTTAATATTTTGTCCAGACGTGAGATATTTGGATTTGGATTAACAAGATTTTTGTTGTGTTTAAACAGAAAATTATGCCTTATTTATTGCCTACAACCGCTACTTTTAGATACAATAGAGGGGGAGCAAACGTAGTGGTCATCTTTTAGGTTTTACGGATGTAGGCCAAAATGCGTTTAAAGGTGAAATCGGGGTGGGGTGAGGTGGCAAATTCAAAAATTTAGTTTTAACTTCAGTGATTATTGTATTGCATGTTCCTTTTTATTTTTTTATTAATTGCAGATGACATCCAGATCAGAGTTTAATGATTTTGTTTATAAATAAATATGCAGTTTACGTTTCATCCTAAAACGTTATCAAAATTAATATAATCTCATTCACAATGCTACTGGCAAGGCGGGTTAATTTAATTCTACTTAACATATGATCTGAACGACTATAACTCAACGACATAATGGTATTCATGGGCCTTTGTATTTTGTACACACTATGCTCTAAATAATGTTTATAATGCTTTTTAAATTTTCTTCTCCTTTTATGTCAATAGAGAATTTCTATTAACATCTGAAATCTTTTTCTCATAATTGCTGTGATTTTCTTTCAAAAGGATTTTCTAATTCTCAGACTACAAGCAACATTTGAAATGTTTCAAGGAAACCACCATGCATAACAATACACCCCACTTTGTTTTTTGTTATTCATTTTATGTGAATATATGTGAATATAATTAGGAACAATTTCAAAGAAAAAAGAAAAAAAAAAAAAAGACAGGGCTAAATAATCCCAAGGAAGATAACCAAGTTTGGTATAATCTACATTGTTTAGAGTTGCCGCCCTAAATAGAATGATAATGTTGATGTAAGCGTCCAATGGAGTAATTTTAGCCAAGCTCATAAAGTTTTGATGCTGTTTTTGTAATACACACCATATTTGGTAACAAAGAACAAACATTAACCATTAGCATGGAGAAAATAAATGTCATCAAGTCAAAATTGAGCAACAGTTAAACATTTGTCTCATCAACAAAAATAGAAAATTCAAAATAATGTATTTTTGTGAAAAAAACTTGCTTCACTATAATCAAGCACACACACACACACACACACACACACACACACACACACACACACAAACAAAAAACAAAAAAAGTTCGGTCGGTATTTACTAAAGACATGTTTAAAAGAATGCAATCCTGCATTTAAACTTATAATTCTTGCCATGCACTTTATCAGGCTGGTCCTTGGGCATATCAAGAGAGAAATATTGCATTGTAATTGGGAGAGGGGGTGCATTGTTATGCATCATGGCTTTCTTGAAACATTACAAATGTCACCCGGAGCGGGCCGCACCTCCTAGTGACACGACTGCTTTATTTCACTATTTGCTATTAGTATTCGGTGGTGACTGTAATGAAAGTACAATATATCAAACATTGAATTATCGGTGAAGATTATTAACGATAATTTACGTCAAATCTCTAGTATTTTTAAGAATAAAATGTACATAACCTTTAAAGAGGGGTGAATTCTTTAACAATTTTTTTTTCCCATCTATTGTATACATGTTGTCATCTTATCAGATGTAATATTTTATTGAAAATTGAAAAACTCACAAACATGTTGGCTTTTGTTTCTCACTTTCCAGTTCTCACTGAACATGATACTGAATCAAAATAATGCAATAATAATATTTTTATTCATTTTTCTATTTTTATACATCCATTTCTGCGAATAAATTTAATTTATTGATATTTTCAAAGCAGGTTCTATTTCAAACTCGTGTGTTTTGGCTACAGTGGTTCAATTTGGTTACATTGGTTACATTATGGAAAACTGGCTGATGTAAATTTCACTGTGCCATTATCAATAAATTCCATTGTGACATTGTTAATTAGAGACAAGACTTTTTAACCTCTTTGTAAATTTTGTACTTGGTCCAACTATACAAATTTGCCTCTATAATGTGTTTTTTTTTGTTGTTATATACACTCAGAACTTAAATGTCTGTTTGTTTTTCTTGTTTCGTCTCTCACTTACGTTTTCTTCCACAGCTGTGATCATATATACCTATTGAATGTCTAGAATATGTTTTTCAAACAACCAGAAATGATATTCAGCGTTAGTCTACTATTGTTTGTTGATATTATTGTTTGATATTTGTATTTATTCTTCTGAAAAGATGCCACATAATTCGCGAATTGCCCCGTACAACACACACACACACACACACACACACACACACACACACACACACACACACACACACACCATCCAAGCTTGCCGCCCGGGCCGGTTTGCCGTATCGCCCATCCCCAGAGGCGTAGCTATGATATTTTGCGCGCCCGGGGACGAACTATACAATTGGCGCCCCAGCCTCCTCCCCGTTTAATCACATTTTTCTATTTTACTTATTATAATGTAACGTTGTGAGCCTCATTTTGGCGCCCTGTACCTTGGCGCCCGGGGACAAATGTACCCCCCTGCCCCACCCTAGCTACGCCTCTGCCCATCCCTTACCAGGCTATACCCATGATACACTTACTACCAAACAAATGGTTTTTCATACGTTCTGATGAACAATTCTAGAATTCATTTACATTTATTTCAAAGTCAGTTGTTATATTTACTGAGCAATTAAACGCAGAGTCAAAACGATCAATGTAACTTACGCCTTTTCCATAAATTCCTAAGTGGGTCTTTTATATGAAGTTGATGATAAAATGACGACAGAGTATAGATCTGCAAAGGAGAGTACTGTGAAAATTAATTGCTTGACAACACAATTCTTGTTTGTCTTTTTGCATTAAAAAATTCAGTTTATAAAACAGCTATATAATTCTGCTAATTGGTATCTATTCCATTCATACCAGCCCTCATTTGCGTGATGTATCCACATTTAGGGTTGTATAATAGTAATTTTCGGAGTACTTGATTACATTTTCAAGATTTGTAAATTAGAGGAGGGTTTTCTACCCAGAAATATTTTAATTCACTACATAAGAAAAAAATGGAAAAAAGTCATAGAAACTAAATAAAAAATGTTTTGGCTTCAAAATGACTTCTGCTCCAGTAAATAAAAATACTCATGCTTTAAATTTTTCATTATAAGAGAGAAACGAATGGCTAAGAGATTGTAGATGGGTTTGATATAATTAGTTTAGTCATTGCATGAACCATCCTTTTGCTATTACGTGTTTTCTATTTGGTTGTTTAAAAAAAATTGCTTTGTTTTTCAAGATTAAATTTCACTGCTTAAATTAACAATTTAAAGGAACCACTTAAGACATTTGTAACATTAGTTATAACCACTCCGGTGGCATAGTGGTTAGAGCGTCCTCCTTGGATGCGGCATGTCGTGGGTTCGAACCCCGGTAGAATCATACCAAAGAGTTACAAAAATTGTACTAACAGCTGCCTCGTTTGATGCTCAAGATTAAGAGGTTAGTGTTATGACTGGTTGGTCAGGTGTCAGGATAATGTGACTGGGTGAGACATCATGCTACATGTCTGCGGCATGATGCCCTATTGCTAAAGATCACTATAAACTGACACATCCAGACATCGTAGCGATATGACTGAAAATTTTTTAAAGCTACGTTAAAAATCATAATCACATCACATAACATTAAGTATTGTTAAATCTTAAATATATAAAATAGAATACAGATTCAGTAATTAGTTTCCACCACACCGCTATTCGCAACCCTAATATATATATATATATATATATATATATATATATATATATATATATATATATATATATATATATATATATATATATATATATATATATAACTTTGAACATGATCAATGTTTGAAATGCAAAACAAATCTTGAGTCTTATTTTTATTTTTGCACTTAAAGCAAGTAATAAAATTAAATCTATCTGTAAAATTAAAAGTGTTCGTTTTATTACCTTTGGTTTCTTCAACAGATCAATAGATTTCTGGGTATTTAGAAACTGATGATTTATTTCACTGATGTTGATTTGAACAATATATTGGTAAAAGGTTAGGATGAAATCTTTGATTATCATGGTTTGAATGGCCGGAAAACTAGTGATATGGTTAACATCTTTGAGGAACAAATTTATAAAATGCAATTTATGTAAATCTTTATTTTCTTACTTTTGAATTAAAATACCGGTCATCGAAAAGTGGATAATGTTGAGATATGAGTGAAAGTTTTGTTTGAAAGCTGCCGCTAATAGTTTGACTGATAGAGGATTTACTTTAGAATAACAAATAAATTTTTAATTTTATACATATCTTCTTTTGGTTGATATCGTAGCTAGGGAGTGAGGAAAAAACTTTGTTTGTTCAGGTATATGTAAAAAACAAGAGATTCTATTTAGCTTCCTAACACATTGATAAATCCTTAAAGGAAATATCTTGGGTAAATTCATAAAGCATAAAAGATTATGGAAAACGTTTTTAGCATCCAGTTAATTGCCTTTTGTATAGTTAATCATCAGGACACGTAAGTTTTATTATATTTGCCAATTTGAATTAGAAATTGTATTGTCATATCTAGGGAATATGATTAAGAACTTCTCTCCACTAAGCAACAAATCACTAAATGTTTTAACGAGATAAATATGTACATGACTATTTTCTTTATATTTCCATCCTTTTGGTTTAACCTCTGTTTAATTTATGCTCTTTGACCAAGTCCATGTATTCATTGATACTAAGCAGTGAATTAACTTTTAGTTTACACAAGAATTCAAACTTAGAAGTTTTTTGTTCTTTTACAGAATTTGATCTTCACGAAATTTGTCACATTTGTTGTATTCGTTTTTGTGTCTTGAATCGTTGATGCAATTGTATGTTTCTACATTTGTAAATCAAAAGTTTTATCATTAATTTCTTACTATTATTTATATGTGTGTATCACAATGACCATTATTGCTGAAGCATAGAAAACAATAGTCTAAGTTATTTATATTTTAAACTCCATTTTGTAAATGTCTTTGTTCTTATTTGATGCAAGACATATATTTGGATAAATTATCATTGGATTAATGAGTTAAGGTGATTGTTAATGCATACTCTAGACTGGACGTGGGAGATGTGCTTGTGTTTTTATCAAACTGATAATTATGATGAAAAATCTAGGTGCTCAAATAATTTCTTTTATATTTCTACCACCCAGTCGTGTACTCTGTACAGTACAAGTTCTTCTATATTTCTATGACCCATCTGTGTACTCTGGACAGGGCGCGTTCTTCTGCATTTCTGTGACACAACTGTGTACTCTGGACAGGGCAACTTCTTATGCATTTCTATTACCCAGACGTGTTTTGTGGTCAGGAAAAGTTCTTCTGTATTTCTGCGACCCATCCGTGTAATCTGGACAGGGCAAGTTTGTATGCCTTTACACATCTTTGTGTTTATACCAGTTATCTGTATACCCTATAATCTTAGAACAAATGGAACAAATTAAAATGCATTTGTGACGCACAATGAAAAGAATAATATCTTCAGGTAAGTCAAGCTCACTTTGTTTAACGTTTTTTGAACTGTAATTTACAGAAATTGTTTCTTACAGTTTAAAAGACATATAACTTGGTAGGTTGATTCTCGTTGATGTGTACAATCACCAATTTACTACAATAGATCATGGTAACCTACATTTAATGTTTTCATGCCTTTGGTTAAGTCTTTTGTTTGCTACAGTTTCTAATGTAATATTGGTTAAGGAGTCGGACAACGTATTTCTAGTTCACGAAATCATTGATGATCTGGACCAATAACAGGATGACATCTGTCCAGATAAGCAAACTTTTATCAAAAATGTATAATGGAGGATGGACGTTTCTGGACTAAATGGGTCTAATAATCGTATGTACGGCTATATAAGCATCAACCAAGAGTTAAATATGCACGTTTTGTAGAGGGGGTATGATGGCTGACTGGTCAAAGGTGCTAACCTTTACCAATCACTGCTATCAAACCTCTGTACTCATGGGCTCTAGTTGAGTAAAGGGCTCAGCCATTGACTGGTTGATTGGTTGATTGGTTGATTGATTGATGGATGGATGGATGGATGAATGAATGAATTGATGGATGACACTCAATAAGCACTGTGAGACTATTTAGCGCCCCAGTAAAGGTTCAGTGCTAGATATAATTATATCAGACAGCCAGCATGGGTTGATATAATTATATCAGTCAGCCAGAATGGGTTGATATAATTATATCAGATATCAGACAGCCAGCATGGATTGATATAATTATATCAGCCAGCCAGCATGGATTGATGATGGTCCTCCCCGGGTTCTTCCTCCACCAGTTACACTGTCCGCTACGTGCTTGAAAATGGCGTTAAACCCCATTAAAGCCCAACAAGAACATTTTGTAGACATGTCCAAATGCCTATAGACATACAAAGTTGAAGCAGGACCAATCACAAAAAGCTTTGATCAACATACAATTTGTTGACATGGATTGTATTTAGCCTCGTTCTGGTAAATGATTAACTTTATCACTGGTTACACAGTTATATGTTGGCAACGTAATCAGCAAATTACTTACATTTATAGATTCTTCGGGCCGGTCTGGGTGGATACCTGACATATACATCATATAGTTGTCTGTCTGAATATCCATCTGTTTGCATGTTTGTTAGTTCTGGTCGGCCTGATATCAGTGTAATATGACTGAATGGGACATGATGCTACATGTCCGCGGCATGTTGCCTCAGTGCTAGACATCATTATAAACTACCACATTGCAGACAGCGTAGGTTTGTTGACTTGCTCATTACCAATATGTATTGCCTCTAATATTTCATTGAATGACATCACAGATAAATAGGAGTCACTTGGCAACAGTGAGTCCTTTTGATAATTCTCGAGAATCGCGTTATTAAGAAGTCAAACCTAAAGGAGACTGAAATCTATCACAAAATGAACAGAGCGTTCTGCTAGAATTATCTTCTTTTGTTGTGAATAAATATGGCTTATATACTGGTCTGTATCGACAATTGAGGAATAAAGGTTACTTTTTCAGTTTCAAGGGGTTTTATTCCTTCACCACAACGCGAGATCACTATCATTGACTATATTGTCATTATATATTTAGTTTCATTCCTGTGCATTTCTGGTAAAGTAATTGATATCAAGTTTTGTAGTTGATGTGTACTTCGAATGCTCATTGCAAACCCTTGAAAACCGTGATGCTGGTTTTGTTTTACAAGAATTGTTACAATCAAAAGCCTAATTTACCATTTCTGGAGCAGTGGTTTCATATTCAACATCACCCATTCTCCTGTTATATTCGTGTTTGATTTATTCGGAAAGTCTTCCAAAATTATACCCTTTTTATCATTTCACTAAACCTGTAGGGTGGAAAATAAGGGGTCTTACACTTGCAGGTGTACAACTTTTCATATATAGCTGGATTATTTTAGTTATGTTTTGCAACAGGGCATATCCGCTTTTTGACGCACTGCTAGTTCCAAAGGGACCTTGAGAAATGATCCTCACAATGGGTCGAATAGAGCATGGTCTCAAATAAGACAAAAAAGTCTTCGACTCTGTGCAAGAACTATGAATCGAATATGAAACTATTATTATGTATATTTGATATGCTTTGTTCGTTAATAAGTATTATTTTACTTCATTACAGAGTACTGTTATGTAACATTGTAGGTTGAACTTGACTTTGTCCAAAAATGCTTTCATTTCTGCTTCACCTGTTGACTACTTTATTTGATTCTGTGCAAACAACTAATACATAGCTAAGTTATTGTCTTTTTGGGGGGCTTAATATCAGGATAATTATTAATAGATGAAGCAAATATGTTTGTTTGGGTCATGTTTTGGAATTTCCTGAGTTTAATCCAAGTTTTTGTAAACGGCATGATCATTCTAGTCAGTCTTTTTCCATTAGGAAATGTTTTTATTTAGAAAATTATACTTATTATCTGAGCTCAAATAGAAAACTGTACAGATATTTTAACTGTGACAATTTTGTCATTCGTGCTTTAACAGCTATCACTTTCAAGTTGTATTATGTTGTGTCCAGTAGGTAAAAATTTTATTTCTTCAAATTATTGAATTCAAGTGATTATTTCTCTGGAAATACAAACTTGCTTGATAAAATTCTTGGATTGAGACATTCAGTGGAATTTAGAGTGTATTCAGACCTATAATTATATGTCTGTAATTCAACAAAAGAATGTAAATCAACGCACTTGGAGCTGTAACAGACACATGACCCTCCTCATAGTTTGGATTTATTCTGGACTTCTACTGAATTTTATTCAGAGCTTCAAATTATTGGAACGTGTGGCTGTAATTCTTGGATTATTTTGTGATTTAATTCGCAAAACCGTTCTTTTCTTTCTCATTTCCACTTTGTATTCTATGGAA